GCACTTGTGTCATTCTCAGATTTCCTGGCTCAGTTTGGTTAGACTCTTTACTGATTCTTCTTATTTTTATTAATATTGGATTTTTTTATCCCATCTTTTTATATATAACTCAAGGCAGTCAACATATCATACCTAATGGTTCTGTCTCCTATTCACAACAATCATATAAAGTGTGTTGGGCTGAGAGAGATTGACTGGCCCAAAATCATCCAGCTGAGGGACACCTAGAACTCACAGCCTCCTGGTTTCTAGGCGAGCATCTTAACTACCACATCAGCTGGCACTCTTCTTTTGTGTTGGCATATAAAAAAAATTATAGTGAAGATTTCCCAAAGATTTAGGGACAAAGCTTGACAAAGATGGAATATGAATGTAGAGTTAGGGTACAGTGTTCAAGAAAGAATTATAAAGATTGTTTAAAAGAGTAAGATGCTCAAAGAAAGGGCAGACTGTGAGTAGCAATGAGAATATTATATTTTTTCCTACTCCACTTCCAGGTAAATTATGATTCTGCTTCTGAATTAAATAATATATTTGATTAATCTTGGTCTTATATCATATAGTCCTTCATTATTTTCCTCAGCTTCTAATCCCAAATTATGTAGGTGGCAGTTTTTGTAGCAAGAGCCTGTAACATATATCCAATATCATTTATTCTGAACCTGGGCCGAAAACAAAAAATTCCAAGGAACTTTCAACATATGATGATGTTCTCAGGTAAGCTGATTGTTTCTACTATGACACCAAAAAAACAACAACCACACTATTAGCTAACTAAATAATATATTTTATGCCTTGTAGTTTTTAGATTTGTAATTTTTTAAAAGGAACACAAACATAAATATTACCACTGTATCATTTGTTTCAAAGGTGCTTTTTCCAACAGGCAATTGGACTTTCTTAGGTTTTTTTTTTTGTCTTTGAAAATGTTTCGCTTGTCATCCAAGAAACTTCTTCAGTTCTAACTGACTGTTGGGGAATGGAAGGATTTATATTCTTTACAGACATGTGGTCGGTCATTAGCTCTTTGAGAGTCATTAAGGCCACTGGAGGGTTTATGTCAGACTCACCTGAATCAAAGTGCAAATTGGTATGGAACCTTCTTGGGACTGCTGAAAGGACTGCTTTGTTATCAGGAGAATAGGTGTTGTTGTATCCCTCCCCTCTGTTGAGAGAAAGCTGCTCAATTTTAACATAGATGGACTCTGACTCCTTTTTCAAACCAGTGATCGTCTCTGCCCAGAATGTGAACTTTGCTTCTGTCTTCCTTAACATCTACTGCATAGTCCAGGAAGACTAGGCTATTTTCCTTCAATCCTTTTGTCAGAACTTAATGTTGCTGTCCACAGAGTAAATGTGTTTGAAGGCTTCCACCTCCACAGAAAAATGATAAGTCGAATAGTCTAGTCTTCCTGGATATTAAGGAAGACAGAAGCTTCACCATTGAAGTATACAAAACATCCACACACAGAGATGAGTATTTACATTTTGATTCTCACCAGCCGGGCTGAAGGTTTGCCTACAAGCAAGGAGAGAAAAGATAAAGAACCAAAACACATCAAGGAAGTCCACAGAACTTGTGGCTATCCTAACAGGGCCTTCATCAAATCCACAAAAAGATCCAGCAGAAGCTCCTACATAACAGACAAAGAGGAGAACAACAAATGAAGCAACCTTGTCATTCCATACGTTGCAGGAATATTTGAAAAGCTCAGGAGGATTTTCAGCCAACACAACATATGGGCATATTTTAAACCCAGGAATATATTAAAGCAGAAGCTTGTCCACCCCAAGGACAAAACTGAGCAATGTAGTATATGCAGTACAATACAGTGAGTCATGTACAGACCTGTACACTAGGAAACAAAGCAACCACTTCACAAATGCATGGCACAACACTGAACAAATTCATCAGGACAGGATTCAGCAGTCCATCTGCATCTGAAAGACAAAGGTCACTCCTTTGAAGATAGCAAAGTTCACATTCTGAACCGAGAAGACCACTGGTTTGAAAGAAGAATCAAAGAGGCCATCTATGTTAAAACTGAACAGCCCTTCCTCAACAGAGGGGAGGGATATGACACCACCTATCTCCTGTTTACAACACAGTCCTTTGAGTGGTCCCAAGAAGACGTCACAATGCTTGCACTCTGATTTGGGTGAATCTGAGGATACAGATAAACCCCCAAGTAGCCTTCATGATTCATGGAGAACTAACAACAGACCCTCAGAGTGTTAATGATCAGATGACTGCAAAGAATATAAATCCATTCCCTACTAGTCAATCAGAACTGAAAAAGCTTATTGGATGAGAAGTGAAACATTTTCAAAGAAAAAAAACTAAGAAAGCCCAGTTGCCTTTTGGAAAAAGTACCTTTGGGATAACCATGATCTGGATGATTGAGAATCTCCATAGACACTGTATTCCTTGTTTAAAAGAAGAACAAGAAATGACCATTATACTGTTCTTGTAAGAAATGGGGACAAATGTGTTGTATCTGAAAGAGAGCTACTCTGTGATCAATGGCATTCACTGGGAAGGCTTATTATCATTTCAGAAAGGCTTGCCTCTATCCTCTGATGATGATGTGCAATAATGATTCTAATCACTTTAATTACCCGGGTGCAGCATGCCTATTATAAAAGTTTATGAAACGGACTTAAAGTGGAAGCTCACTTGGAGAAATGAAATTCAGATGGTATACCATATGGTTGTTTCATCTCTATTCTCTGGAGAACAGGCTTATTCATTTTGGAGGGTATATCTCTCATATTAAAATAATGTCAGATTTCCCCTAGCTTTGATGAAATAGTGGCCAGCTGAAGATTTCATGGGTTATAACATGCTTTTAAATGATGCAAAAGAAAGCATACATCTTTTTTTTACTCACTCATTACATTATGTAATCTTCATGCCTGTTGTATATTAAGTATGTATGTTATACAACTGCCTAATATATATAAATTATTAGCATTAGCTTGTTCTCTGATTTGTAAATAGCATCACTCCAACTCTTTAAAATTATATAAAATCTATCTTCATTATTATTGTTTCTTTCTTTTCTTTCTCTAAGCCAGGCATGTCAAACTACCGGCCGCGGGCCAGATGCGTCATGCCAAAACAGTGCCCACCCCATTGCCGGCAATGGGGAAAAAGTCATGATACATCACACAACATCACGTGACGTTGCGAGTTTGACATGCCTGCTCTAAGCTATCAGAGTCAAAAATTATTCTCATTGGCCCACATGGAAAATTCAATATAAAGCAAACCCTATACAACATATTATTACAATGATGGTTGGATAACACTGTAAAAGACTAGTGAAGAAATGCTATTAAAAGAGCATGTTTGGATATGGACCTCAACATACAGAAATGATGACACACATTTTTCGGGAATGTCAACTCTCAGCTAAAAACTTTCGCATTTCTTCAGACTTTTTCAAATATTTATATTGCTTTAGCTTATGAGGCTGATTCCACTAGCTAATGGCCTATTTATTTTTATTCAACTTTGGAAAATGAATCATTGAAAAATCACTCAGTTATTTTAATATTTCAAATTTCCCACCTGTTCCTGATTACATATTGTGCTACTGGTTTCAATGGAGAATAGGGAAAAAGAAATTGCATGCAGCAACATTCAGCAAGATGAAGGTTGGGTGGTATTTTTCTTCCTCTTGCAGAGATTTAAAAAAATGCCACTACTGCTTTCAGCTTTTGTTTTCTTCTCATATTCCTATTCTTTGAGCAATTAGGACCTTTCTTTGGCATGAAGTAACAAAGCACGTGTCTGTTTTGTGACATATGGTTTTATATGGACCTAATGAAAATTGCAGAAACTAGTAATGCTTTTCTATGAGATTGACAGGAAGAAAATGTCTATCTTTAAAATGTGCTATTAAGTATCAATATTTCCATTTGACTGCAGGTAGTCCTCGACTCACAGCCACAACTGACCCCAGAATTTTAGTCATAAGTCATTGTAGTAATTAAGCAGATCACCATGTGACTTAACTCAATATTATGACTGTTTTATGATGGTCATAAAGTGAGACACTGCAGTCATTAAGTGAATCATGGGGTCATTAAGTGATTCTAGCATATTCAATGGTATTTTTTACTATTTTCTGCCAGTGCTGCAGTGATTTATTTATTTATTTATTTATTTATTAAACTTATATGCCGCCCTTCTCCCCACAGGACTCAGGGCGGCTCACAGCATATTAAAACAGTACAAAGCACTATCCCCAATAAAAACCAATTAAAAACAAATATTTACCGCTGTGTCATATTAAAATAATGATTAAAATTGTCCCTATTTAAAATTCTCCCTAGGCCAGACCCGCTTGCTGAAAAAGCCATGTCTTGAGGGCGCGGCGGAAANCAAACATATGGCATAAGGTGGTTATTTTCATGATAAACAGATAAATTGTATAATTGGAGATATAAAACAGAATCCAGAAAGAGCTCGATGCATATATAAAATGTTTCTGCTGTTTATTTTTTTCTGTGCAAGAATAGCCACTCATCATACAATTGCTGAGAAGTGAGGATATACTCTTGGCTTTACTCCTGACATCAGATATATTGCATGTCCTATGTCTGGAGATCACCTTTGAATGTGTGATCATTGAATAAACTGATATGAACAACTGCTTGAACACAGAAATCTCTAGGTTTTAAACACAAGTGATATGTTGTGCTGTTCCAATGATATTAATTTTATTACTACTATAATTATGTGCCATCAAATCATTGTTAAGTTTTAGTGACCACATAAATTTTCTTCATGATGATCTGACCGTAACCTGATATTTAGGTCTCCTAATGTGTATTCATCATCTCTGTTATTGAGTTCATCCATCTGGCTGCTAGTCACCCTCTTCTTCCATTTTTTCCATCTTTCCCAGAATTAGAGCTTTCTGCAGAGAGAAAAGTCTTTACCTAATATATCCAAACTAGGATAATTTGAGCCTAGTCATTTGTGTCTTGAGTGAGAACCCTGGATTATTTGTTCAATGAGCTATTTTTGTTTGTTGATTTTCTTAACTGTCCGTGGTATTCTCAGGAGTCTTTTTCTAACACCAAAGTTCAAAAGCATCAATATTCTTTCTTCTTGTTTCTTCAAACTCCAACTTTTGCTTTAATAGAATGTCACAGGGAATACCATAGTTTGCACAGTTCTGATCTTTGTAGGTATAGACACATCACTGCATTTAAATATCTTTTCTAAGGCCTTCATTGCTGCTCTACCAAGAATTAGTCTTCAATGTATTTCTTGACTGGTTGTTCCTTTACTGGTGATAGTTAATCCTATCTACCAATTCAGTGTATTCACTGTTAATTCTAAGGCTAATTCCTCTATTTGTTGTCATTAGTTGGGTTGTCTTTTAATCCCACTTTTTTCATTTTGCTCCTTAACTTTTATTACTAGAATGTGCAGATTCTTTGCATTTTTGGCTATCAGAGTACTGTCAGCACCATGGCACAGGTTACTGATATTTCTTCCTTATTTTAAAACCATCCCATCTTCTCCCAGTCCAGCTTCTCTTAATATATTCAGTATATAGAGAGTGAATAAATGAGAGCGTATACATCCTTGTTTCACTTATTTGCCATCCTAGAACTAGTTTGTTTAACCATGTTCTATCTGTACTGTGGATCCCTGACCTGTATATAAATTCCTCATGAGGACAATGAAATGGTGTTTTTTTTATCTTTTTTCTGAGTTTATTCTACAGCTTTATGTGATCAACACAATCAAAGCCCTTTCTATAATCAATGAAGCACTTAGTGACTTCCTTTTGATATTCTTTGACTTTCTCATTTGTCCAGCATGCATCAGCAAAAATGTCTCATGTTTCTTGGCCTTTTCTAAAACCATCTTTAAAATATGGCATCTCTTTTTTCATGTAGGACTATAATCTACATTGCATGAAGTTGCTAGCACATGAGATTAAGGTTATCATATAACAGTTTGCACACTCTGTTAACTCTCCTCTCTTCCCCCCCCCCCTGTCGTAGATTAATCACAAGTGTTGGCACTTGTGTCATTCTCAGATTTCCTGGCTCAGTTTGGTTAGACTCTTTACTGATTCTTCTTATTTTTATTAATATTGGATTTTTTATCCCATCTTTTTATATATAACTCAAGGCAGTCAACATATCATACCTAATAGTTCTGTCTCCTATTCACAACAATCATATAAAGTGTGTTGGGCTGAGAGAGATTGACTGGCCCAAAATCATCCAGCTGAGGGACACCTAGAACTCACAGCCTCCTGGTTTCTAGGCGAGCATCTTAACTACCACATCAGCTGGTTCTCTTCTTTTGTGTTGGCATATAAAAAAAATTATAATGAAGATTTCCCAAAGATTTAAGGACAAAGCTTGACAAAGATGGAATATGAATGTAGAGTTAGGGTACAGTGTTCAAGAAAGAATTATAAAGATTGTTTAAAAGAGTAAGATGCTCAAAGAAAGGGCAGACTGTGAGTAGCAATGAGAATGTTATATTTTTTCCTACTCCACTTCCAGGTAAATTATGATTCTGCTTCTGAATTAAATAATATATTTGATTAATCTTGGTCTTATATCATATAGTCCTTCATTATTTTCCTCAGCTTCTAATCCCAAATTATGTAGGTGGCAGTTTTTGTAGCAAGAGCCTGTAACATATATCCAATATCATTCATTCTGAACCTGGGCCGAAAACAAAAAATTCCAAGGAACTTTCAACATATGATGATGTTCTCAGGTAAGCTGATTGTTTCTACTATGACACCAAAAAAAAAACCAACCACACTATTAGCTAACTAAATAATTTATTTTATGCCTTGTAGTTTTTAGATTTGTAATTTTTTAAAAGGAACACAAACATAAATATTACCACTGTATCATTTGTTTCAAAGGTGCTTTTTCCAACAGGCAATTGGACTTTCTTAGGTTTGTTTTTTTTTGTCTTTGAAAATGTTTCGCTTGTCATCCAAGAAACTTCTTCAGTTCTAACTGACTGGTGGGGAATGGAAGGGTTTATATTCTTTACAGACATGTGGTCGGTCATTAGCTCTTTGAGAGTCATTAAGGCCACTTGAGGGTTTATGTCAGACTCACCTGAATCAAAGTGCAAATTGGTATGGAACCTTCTTGGGACTGCTGAAAGGACTGCTTTGTTATCAGGAGAATAGGTGTTGTTGTATCCCTCCCCTCTGTTGAGAGAAAGCTGCTCAATTTTAACATAGATGGACTCTGACTCCTTTTTCAAACCAGTGATCGTCTCTGCCCAGAATGTGAACTTTGCTTCTGTCTTCCTTAACATCTACTGCATAGTCCAGGAAGGCTAGGCTATTTTCCTTCAATCCTTTTGTCAGAACTTAATGTTGCTGTCCACAGAGTAAATGTGTTTGAAGGCTTCCACCTCCACAGAAAAATGATAAGTCGAATAGTCTAGTCTTCCTGGATATTAAGGAAGACAGAAGCTTCACCATTGAAGTATACAAAACATCCACACACAGAGATGAGTATTTACATTTTGATTCTCACCAGCCGGGCTGAAGGTTTGCCTACAAGCAAGGAGGGAAAAGATAAAGAACCAAAACACATCAAGGAAGCCCACAGAACTTGTGGCTATCCTAACAGGGCCTTCATCAAATCCACAAAAAGATCCAGCAGAAGCTCCTACATAACAGACAAAGAGGAGAACAACAAATGGAGCAACCTTGTCATTCCATACATTGCAGGAATATTTGAAAAGCTCAGGAGGATTTTCAGCCAACACAACATATGGGCATATTTTAAACCCAGGAATATATTAAAGCAAAAGCTTGTCCACCCCAAGGACAAAACTGAGCAATGTAGTATATGCAGTACAATATAGTGAGTCATGTGCAGACCTGTACACTAGGAAACAAAGCAACCACTTCACAAATGCATGGCACAACACTGAACAAATTCATCAGGACAGGATTCAGCAGTCCATCTGCATCTGAAAGACAAAGGTCATTCCTCTGAAGATAGCAAAGTTCACATTCTGAACAGAGAAGACCACTGGTCTGAAAGAAGAGTCAAAGAGGCCATCTATGTTAAAATTGAACAGCCCTTCCTCAACAGAGGGGAGGGATATGACACCACCTATCTCCTGTTTATAACACAGTCCTTTGAGTGGTCCCAAAAAGACGTCATAATGCTTGCACTCTGATTTGGGTGAATCTGAGGATACAGATAAACCCCCAAGTAGCCTTCATGACTCATGGAGAACTAACAACAGACCCTCAGAGTGTTAATGATCAGATGACTGCAAAGAATATAAATCCATTCCCTACTAGTCGGTCAGAACTGAAAAAGCTTATTGGATGAGAAGTGAAACATTTTCGAAGAAAAAAAACTAAGAAAGCCCAGTTGCCTTTTGGAAAAAGTACCTTTGGGACAACCATGATCTGGATGATTGAGAATCTCCATAGACACTGTATTCCTTGTTTAAAAGAAGAACAAGAAATGACCATTATACTGTTCTTGTAAGAAATGGGGACAAATGTGTTGTATCTGAAAGAGAGCTACTCTGTGATCAATGGCATTCACTGGGAAGGCTTATTATCATTTCAGAAAGGCTTGCCTCTATCCTCTGATGATGATGTGCAATAATGATTCTAATCACTTTAATTACCCGGGTGCAGCATGCCTATTATAAAAGTTTATGAAACGGACTTAAAGTGGAAGCTCACTTGGAGAAATGAAATTCAGATGGTATACCATATGGTTGTTTCATCTCTATTCTCTGGAGAACAGGCTTATTCATTTTGGAGGGTATATCTCTCATATTAAAATAATGTCAGATTTCCCCTAGGTTTGATGAAATAGTGGCCAGCTGAAGATTTCATGGGTTATAACATGCTTTTAAATGATGCAAAAGAAAGCATACATCTTTTTTTTACTCACTCATTACATTATGTAATCTTCATGCCTGTTATATATTAAGTATGTATGTTATACAACTGCCTAATATATATAAATTATTAGCATTAGCTTGTTCTCTGATTTGTAAATAGCATCACTCCAACTCTTTAAAATTATATAAAATCTATCTTCATTATTATTCTTTCTTTCTTTTCTTTCTCTAAGCCAGGCATGTCAAACTGCCGGCCCGCGGGCCAGATGCGTCATGCCAAAACAGCGCCCACCCCATTGCCGGCAATGGAGAAAAAGTCACGATACATCATGCAACATCATGTGACGTTGCGAGTTTGACATGCCTGCTCTAAGCTATCACAGTCAAAAATTATTCTCATTGGCCCACATGGAAAATTCAATATAAAGCAAACCCTATACGACATATTGTTACAATGATGGTTGGATAACACTGTAAAAGACTAGTGAAGAAATGCTATTAAAAGAGCATGTTTGGATATGGACCTCAACATACAGAAATGATGACACACATTTTTCAGGAATGTCAACTCTCAGCTAAAAACTTTCGCATTTCTTCAGACTTTTTCAAATATTTATATTGCTTTAGCTTATGAGGCTGATTCCACTAGCTAATGGCCTATTTATTTTTATTCAACTTTGGAAAATGAATCATTGAAAAATCACTCAGTTATTTCAATATTTCAAATTTCCCACCTGTTCCTGATTACATATTGTGCTACTGGTTTCAATGGAGAATAAGGAAAAAGAAATTGCATGCAACAACATTCAGCAAGATGAAGGTTGGGTGGTATTTTTCTTCCTCTTGCAGAGATTTTAAAAAATACCACTACTACTTTCAGCTTTTGTTTTCTTCTCATACTCCTATTCTTTGAGCAATTAGGACCTTTCTTTGGCATGAAGTAACAAAGCACATGTCTGTTTTGTGACATATGGTTTTATATGGACCTAATGAAAATTGCAGAAACTAGTAATGCTTTTCTATGAGATTGACAGGAAGAAAATGTCCATCTTTAAAATGTGCTATTGAGTATCAATATTTCCATTTGACTGCAGGTAGTCCTCGACTCACAGCCACAACTGACCCCATAATTTTAGTCATAAGTCATTGTAGTAATTAAGCAGATCACCATGTGACTTAACTCAATATTATGACTGTTTTATGATGGTCATAAAGTGAGACACTGCAGTCATTAAGTGAATCATGGGGTCATTAAGTGATTCTAGCATATTCAATGGTATTTTTTACTATGTTCTGCCAGTGCTGCAGTGATCTTCAAGGATAGATAATAAGTAGCTTTTTTCAAACTATTATAACTTTGAACAGTTGTGAAGAGACCCGTCATTAAGCAAGAACTATTGTATCTCTCCTTTAGTTTACGTACACATTTACTCAATGAATTAAAATACTCAGAATGGAGGAGGAGTTTGTGGAAAAGAGATAACCCAATATTTATTTATTTATTATATTTGTTTGCCGCCCTTCTCCCCACATATGTTTGCTGGTTAATAAGAAGTCCATAAGAATGCTTGTTTATCATAACATAAGCATTTTAATATTTGTCTTGTTCTCCTAAATATTTTACAAATCACAAGCTTGTAGATGAAGACAAGTCCCCATCACAATATGCAATAGTATGCATGGAAGTCTATATTTTCTTCATATGTCAACTTAGTTCTTGTTTAGGACAGTTAATTAAAAAAAAGACCAGAAATGGGCCTTTGAAGCAGTAAATGTTATCTTCCAGTTGGGGAACATCTATCATAATTCATTTTTGTGAGAAGTGATTTGTATCTAAGGAAGGAATACACAGAAGCCTTGTGGTTCAAGAACCATATTCAGACAACACTTTTAGCAGATTTTGGGAGAAACATGACTGCTAAAATGGTTACAGCCAAAATCATTTATGTGACTCTTTTGAAAAACAAAGAAAATGAAATCAAGGTGTAGTTAATGTGGAATGCCATAAATTAAGTAAATTTTAAATAATCATTAATAACTAGTGGCAGCTGAATAAAATAAAAATGGGTGGATGGGTGGATGGATGGATAGCTGGATGGCTTTGGGAAGGATATAATCCATGAATGTTTGTACTACAATAACTAATGTTTTCGGAACCCCAAGATTCTTTGCTATTTGGGGATAGAAGACTAAGAGACTATTTTTTCTGGAAGTTTTAATACACTTTTATTTTTATAACAGAATAATAGTATAGGAAGGACCATTTGGGGCATGAAGTTCAAATTCTGACTTAATGTGGGGATATCCAGGTGATGACTTTTTGAAAGAAGAAGAGGGAGGAATTGATCACCTCTAGATAGCTGCTGAAAAGCAACTAAATGTTCATTTCATTTTCTTTGTTTTTCACTAATGGAAGTGAGAAAATACTTTGTAGATATAAGTATCGCAAAACCTTGTCATCGTCTTTCCCTTTCCTTTTTATTTTTTTAGTTTCAGCAGCAATGAGGGATAAAGAAGGTGGAGAGGGGAAAAGCATCAAAAGCTTAAATGAGATTGTGCAATTAATAGTTTAGATTACATTTTTGACAGACAAGGCACATTGTGACCAATCTTCTAAACCTGGTTCTATGTAATAAGAAGATTAATTTTAAATTTTATCCTGGAAAACAATATTCTCCATGATGTGACTATATACTACAATGTTAGAAAGTTTTATTTGGCTTCTTTAGCCTTCTCAATCCTTCCATGGCTGCCTAATCATAAAGGAGTGGAGTGTATTCACAGGAAAAATGAACAAAGACCACCAGGAATATAGATCAAGAGTATGTATTCCCAGCTGAAAGCTCTAATAAAAGTCAAGGTTCACAGTGAAAAAAATGGAATTAAGATTAAATATAAAGGAGTCCAAACTAATCAAAACAGGAGAGCAATTAGCCTTAGAATTTACAATTAAGACAATGAAGTGGTGGTTAGTTTCTATCTTTAAAATTGATTATCAATAGTTAAGATGTACACCCTTAATTGGAACCTGGTAGGACAGCTACAAAGGAAAAAACAAAGGAAAAGATATTCAGATGCAATGGTGTATCTATTCCTACAAATATCAGTGGAAATAATATTATTCCATATTACATGTTATGGAAGCAGTGGTTGGATTTGAAGAAGCAGGATACGAATATTATTGACACTTTTGAATATAGTATTATAGAAGACTCTGAGAAGACTATGGATAGCCAAGAAGAAAAATAAGTATTTCATAGAGCAAATCAATATATGGTTCTCACTAAAAGCACAAATGACAGGCTAAGATTATTATATTTTGAATATATTGTGGGAAGACCCAACTTGATGAAGCATTATTACAGTACCACCAACATGTGGATTTACAAATAATTAATTTGCACCTATCTCTGTGCTGTAGGACTTACTAGATAGACTGGGGAGTTTCATAGGAAAGTAGTGTGAATCACTCCATCAGATTTCAGGAAAGCAGGGGAGACCTGCAGGGTATGTCTAGTGATCTAGAACAGCTGCTATTTGAGGTAAAGGAAAACTCTTGTAGTTTGTTCCCATAAAACTGTTCAATTATTTTCTTATGAAAGGTGAAACTGAGTTTAAGAAAGGAGGTGGTTTAAAAGAATACAGACATGACTTTGGAGGAAATATGCAAAAATTGTTACAAAACTTGAGCTCATATCATTACCAAAAGATTATCTCAACATGGCAAATTACACAACATAAGAAAGAAAATTAAAATTCCACTATCTTGACTTTCTCTGGTATAGTAGGGAGGGAAGAATAATTGTCAGACATGTGTATGTGTGTACACACAAATACACACCCACACATGTATATGTATATATAAAATATGAGTACTTGGCAACCAGCATGTATTTACGATGGTTGCAATATACCCAGGTCAAGTGATTGTCATTTGCAAACCTCTGGCCAGCTTCTGACAAAGTCAATGCAGGAAGCTGGATTTACTTAACGCCGTACATTAAGTGAATTTTTACTACGGTTTTTCTAACATTTTAGTCCACACTGAGTAAATTGTTGACGGAACGAATCGTCACCTTTAAGACCAGGGTTAACACCAACATTCAGTTCCTAATGAGTATATCCAATAATTATATATTGACTAATATAGGATGTCATTTCATCCCAAGACCATAAAGAATACCATGGACTATCCTTACCTGGCCTACTTTGAAGTTCTAATATTTATGTCCTAATCCAACAGAAATCTTTTTACATTCTTATGTGCTAAAGTATTCATCTAATTGGGATGGAGTTGTATGGTTTCTGATTCTAAAACTTGATTAAATTCTTTGTTAAAACTGTCTTCCTTTAATAAACAAATGTTCACAACTACGAGAATTTAAAATGTTTAGATAAGGATGCTTAATGAAAGGTTGATTTTAAGCTATAATATGAAGATGCTTTTGCAATCTTGTAACTAAGTTAAGGCTAAACTCCAATGCATACAAAATAAACAAAATAGAAAAAAATGATGGAGATGAACTCCATTCCATAAATCAGCACTGATCTATACAATAAATAAACTAAGTGAGAGTCAGCAATGTGGAAAGGAACCCTCATGGGTACTTAATACATAAAAGAAGTAACTGTATTTTACACATGGAACAAGCCTTTTATAATACCTACATTATTTTTCTCTGGGAAAAAATATATGAAGCAAATTGTAATTTCAATGTAACAAGACATCTTCTTCTAAATTAAACCAGTAATTCAAACAAGACACTTTAGATAACTTCATATATATATATACAGTATAATTTTAAAAGAGAAAAAAAGTCTCCCATCATTTTACAGAGGAAGGTAAGACCTAATAGTTTGTTTCTCTAACCAATAAAATGAGCTGCATCTAAAAATCCTAAAGTAAACTTTGAATATGCAGAATTCTAAGATGAATGCCCATTCAGAAGATAAAATAAAATCACTGCACCTAAATAAATGTCAAAGCACTATCAGAATACCTGATGTAATATTAATTCAAATTAAAAATTTCCCATAGAAAGTGATTTAGAAATCTGTTTTTGTAAACATGCTGTGTAATTTCAGGATTTCAAGAATAACATGCAGTGCATTAATTCTTGGGCTATTCACAAGGAAAACTGTTTATATTTTTTTAATGGCATAGGATGAGTACACCACAATAGGTTATGATCATGTCCGTGCTGAAATTGTGCCTGCAATCCACTCTCACCAAAAGAGCAGAAGGAATCATTCAGGACTTTTATCCATTTTTTTCCCTGGGACATTGGCATTTATCCCATATGTTTCATTTATACTCTCTGACCAGCAGCAAACAAGATCACCTTAATTCATATTTCTGTGACATCCTTCATTTATAATTAAGCCAATACTTTCACATGTATTTACTAACTCCAGTTTAATTTCCCTGAATTAAGCAATATTCACTTCTAACTAATAATTTATTATATTACATGAAGTCACTTATTAGATTTAGTGCTGAATTTTTCTTCATGTTTGCAACAAACCCTTTTCCACGGTCTCACCTTGCTGCAGCAGCGGCACCGACAGCCCTGTATAGCCGGCCCATTTCTTCTGCGGCCGAAGGAAATGCCTCTGCAGCTGAGAATGGAGCTCCAGCCTGCATTTTGCCATCAGAGGCCTTCTGGAAAGGCCTCTGCAGCTGAGAACCAAGCTACAGGTTCGTAGCTCAGTTCTTGGCTGCAGAGGCCTTTCCGGAAGGCCTCTGATGGCGAAATTCTAGCCGGAGCTCCATTCTCAGCTGCAGAGGCATTTCCTTCGGCCGCAGAAGAAATGGGCTGTCAAGGCAAGGCAAAGCAGGCTGCAATGGTAAGAGGGTGTGGGGCACATGAGGCAGGTCCAGCCCAAAGCCCCTAGCTTGACTTTTAGATGTGCAAGTCACCCCAAAACTAGGGCTTATTTTGGGGGTAGGTCTTATATTAGGTCCACCCCCAAAAATCAAGCTAGGGCTTGCTTTCAGGGAAACACGGTATTCATGGTACAAAATAAAAACACACAAGAATGAAATAATACAACCACACAAAATAAAATAAGGATGTCAATATGAAAGCAAAAGATGGCTCTCTAAAATTACTCAGTCTTCAAAAGTTTCCCAAAAACTAACAAGGAGTGAAGTAGCCAGATCTCCACTGGGAGGATATTCCACAGCATTCTCTGGATTTTTCCTTCCAAGCCTTATTGTCTCACCTGTATGTCCCATCTCTCATTTGGTCACTAAACCATTTCTCTCCTGTGTAATTATTTCCCTTCTTAGGACATAATCTGGAATACTCTACATTCTAAAATAATATATATATCTGAAACTTTGAGCTTCTCTCCAAGTTTTTTTTTACAATATTTTTATGTTCTTTCTCTTCCCTTTCTTTTTTTCTGAAGGCCTACGTGGTGCAATAGCATTTGCGCTAGCTATTCGGGACACAGAATCTCAACCTAAGCAAATGATGTTCACAACCACTTTACTAATTGTCTTCTTCACAGTCTGGGTGTTAGGAGGTGGCACTACATCAATGCTTACATGGCTCCAAATCAGGTAAGTTTCATTAGTTTATAATTTCTTCTAATAAAAATTATTTGTTCATCCAATTACTTTTTACCCCTTTTCCTTTAGCAATACTCTCTCTTTGTTGAGAGAGGGGTTGTCATATATAAAGGATAGATAGCCATGAATAATTAAAACGGATCTCAATGTTGGTGGGTGATGTTCTGAAATATTTTTAAGCATCTTTCCTGTTCTTACTTCTTATTTAACTAGTTTTTCTGGAGTGTGTATCTGGAGATGTGTTTTATATAAATCAGCCTACTTCAGAGTGGCACCCGAAGACTAGTATAGTCTCAAAATTTTAAGCTATTTTCATTCATTCTGGTAGTAATTGAGGTTCATTTGAAGACTGAAAATTTGAGAAAATCACGACATTTGATTATATAAATATCAGGATTAAAATCAGTCATAACCACGGAGGACGGTTAATAAAGTCTCAACCTACTGTTTATGACAAAAATAACGTATATGAAAAGTGTAACGAGTAAATTAAAAGAAGAACGAAGTGGGTATGTTGACCTTTGGAAACGACTGTTTAACGATAATAATTAACCAATTAAATAATAGTGTAGATTGAATACGTGTTATTGCACCGGGTTTTAATGGAAATTGTCTTTTTGAAGACAGAAGGGTTTTTTTAGTAATAAATATGACATTGTACAATTTATATTTGTTGTAAATTGTAATTTAGATGCATCATTCAGAATGACTTTTCTGATCATAAATTATTTCCTTTTATTGTTTAGTCAAAACAAATCTAGATTTTTAAAATGAAAGATCATCTAATTGAGTTACAGTAATATATGTTTGTTTGTGTGTGTGTGTGTGTGTGTATCCTTTAAACAAAGATAATTAATAGTGCTACTTACCAACATTGCAGTAGTATGATGCATAGTAAATTTTGGGAGTAGAAAACCCTGACAAACTAGAGCTATTAAACATTAGATGCAAAAATCCAGATGTGGACTACATAGCAACAAAGAGTAATTTCCAGTGCTTCCATTTGGTCATCATTTAGATTCCAAGATTTACTGTCATAACATTCAGAATACACTGTGTACATTTGGAGAATCTGTTCCATAGGTTTAGTATATTACTAAATATTATACTGAGTAGATCAGAGAATTTTTAAAACATGCTTTCTATGGGACTTCGATTCCATCCTACCTGCTTTTATTCCACTGAGGACTTTCATTTAAATCCATCTTGAAAATCTCAGCTTTAAATAGCCCTCTGCTAAATGAGTCTTAAATCAATCTGACAGTGGCAACACAGGTAATCTGCAAGTGTTTAAATCTGGTTCAGACATAAGTGTCTAAAGCCCAGTGGCCATATGTATCTAGCTATCACAGACTGGCTCTACCTTGGCAGCTGCCTAAAAGGAAAATAATACTTCCATTCAGAATAAGCTAGACTAGAGAAGGGAAACATATACCATTAACTAGCTTCTGCCTATCATGGTCAAAGAAGAGAACTTTTGTTCAGGTTCTAGAGGATCGCATATTCTATATCTGTAATTGGACCTAGATCACTGGAAAAAATAATGATAGCTATCTAAAACAGGACAAAAAATTCTAGTGTTGTTGTTGCCTCTCTTCCTTCATGGTATTTTTGTAACTGAGATTATAATATCTCTTTTTTCCATATTAGTATTTCTATATTTCAACATAATTATCAATACTCAATCAACCTGTTAGAAAGTAATACAACATTCAGAACAGTGACAAATATTGCCCATTCATCAGAGTGTTCCAATATCAGACCACTGCAATATATCTAAAGGCCTTACTGGCCATAAGGACAAAGTAAAAAGTTGGTTTTTTTCCATTATCCCTTTGACAAACCTCCCCTTCAAAGAGTTCCTGATGTTAAGAGTTTTCAAGAATGGAGAAGTAGGCTTTAGTGACCAAGCAATAAGGAATTATGAGTTAACATGAATTTTTGCCTTCAATAATAAACTTTAGAATGATTCCTGAGAAGCAGTTCCTGAAGCCATAGTGATGTTTTATTAACTTTAGAAAAGTAGCATTGGCCACTATCATTAATGGCTTGTTGTGAGGGGTGGATGGTGGGACTATGGCCATCCTTGTTCTGCTGCAAGTCAAGATACCATCAAACATAGTATCCGTTTTAATTGCCTGCAAGGGTTGAAGACATTGTGGTGATTCTGCTGCAATCTGACTTGATTGATCCAAATTTGTGATTAAATGGAGAAACCAGGCCCACAGTCACTCAATTATTGCATGTACCATGGCTGAGTTCCTTCTTTAATCTTACTTAGTATTTGCATTAATTGAATAGATAATATCATATGCCAGTTTAGGGTTAGGTGTTATCAATATGTAGGTGATATTAGCTATCTATTCCTACCCAAACTGAATAGAACATGGTAGAAATTGAGTGGGCTTTGTATTGCCCATTGAAACCTACAGTATATTGCAACTTAAAAGCAGTTGTTGGTAATACAGCAGGATTGTTCATAGGGACACACACACACAAATACACACATTCCATGCAGAGTTCTAAAACTGAAGCCCAACGGAAGGGATCTCATAGTTCAAGGGAAGAGATAGAAAATGTTTGAGGTTTCAAGATGGACCATGCTTATAAGATGAGATGAGATAAGATGAGATGAGATGAGATGAGATGAGACGAGACGAGACAAAATAAGATGGACCATGCTTATAAGATGAGATGAGATGAGATGAGACGAGACGAGACGAGACGAAATAAGATAAGCTTTATTGTTATTTTTTTACTGTGGGCACAATGGCACACATCAAAAATGAAATTTAGTTGCCCGCTCTCAAAGTGAAACACATACATGACACACACCTAAACATACTATGTACAACATATGTACACATATGTACAACATACATACACATATGTACCCACACCCCTACATATTCATAGCACATAAATATTAAATACTGTCCATCTTGAATATATAATGGAAGGAGAAAGCTTGAGAGTTCACAAGGTTAATGCTGTATTATGGAATTATGGAAATAATTCCTAAGTAACATAATGTACCTGAATACAAAGTTGTACTTAGTATATACCTTGTTAGTGAATTCTCTATCAAAAAAGATATCTAACTAGAAAAATCGTAGAAAAAAAGAAAGAAAGAAAGAAAGAAAGAAAGAAAGAAAGAAAGAAAGAAAGAAAGAAAAAGAGTATAAAAAACATTGTTTTCTTAACCACCACTCTGTCAAAAGAAGAGGATGGAATTAGAATTTCCTATATAACTTTATTTTTTTTATCTACAAATCAGTGTCATCTCTTAGTGATCATATTGTTAAAATATATCTGTGAACTTCAGATAAATCCAGCTATTTTATAGTATATTTAAGGAGTCACTTAAGAAGTTTTAATAGTGTCACCAAGGAAGAATGTGCTTGCATTATTGCTTTGTAATTCAACTATTTCTTACCGCTGATTCTAAATATAGCTCAAGCTTTGTTTGTTTACAATCATGTCAGACTGTTGCAATAAAACACTAGCTGAAAATAACTGCATTGGAAGTATAATAAAGAAGCTTAGATAAACAGCATGCTGACAAAATCTCTATTGGTGTAAAGAATAAAGAAAAAATGTCAGGACCCACATACTGTGTATGAGAATTGTGTTGTTCGGATATTTTGATTGCTTTTTCTTATCTTCAATGTCAGCCAAGTTCATTGTAATTTGGAAATACAACTCAAGCGTCCATCATTCTTATCAAATTTACCACGGTTTCATTGGATTCAGCCTATGAGCTATTTCATTCATAGATAGATAGATAATTAGACAAAGATTTAGCACCAACAAAATCTCACAGCATCAAGCAACAGGCTTGCAAACAGAAGAACAGCATATGAGTTTTCTGCAAATATTTTCAACAAACACATATAAATGTATTTCATAGTGGGTTTTCTTAGCAGATGCTGATCTTTTACTATATTGTCACAAAGAATCTTTGCTTTTCAAACTGGAAATTGTCTTGCAAGCTACAACTGTAGCTTTTTCATAATGAACTTTTACAATCATACATAATGAAGTGCCTTATTCGTGTTATTTCACCTACCCCCAGCGCCTTATGTGGGAAAGACATTGGGAGACATGGAGAGATGCTGCCTAGGATAAAAGAGGGTGTAGCCCCCAGCTGGATAGTGGGTGGAGCAAGAGGCTAAGAAAGGACCTTCCCTAGTTTCTCAGGCAGTAAAGAAGATGGCAGGAGAGCTGTACTTTCAGATTTGCAAGATTCTATTAATGTAGCTTTACAGTAAATAGAATTAGTTCATCTAGTGTTTCCTCTCTGGTCTGCCCAGGAAGACTAACACCACCCCAGAAAAATCTAATAAAGATCCATAAAAGAAATTATTCTCATCCAAATTCTAAATATATAAATGTTAGATAAAATTTCCTTATTTTCTTATGATCAACAGTAGGATGTATCTAAATTAAAACATCCTTTTTGTTATCATGGTAATAGGGACCAACATATATTTGTCATAATTTTGTATCACACACACACACATACGTGTGTGTGTGTGTTCTTATGCTGAATCTATAGCTAATCAATATTTTAGGTTACTTATTTATTTATTTTTTCATTGATGCTTCTCCATGAATAAAGTGCTAAGTCACATCAACATCTAGGGGTTTTTTTTACCATTATTACTCTAGGTCAGTGTTTGTTAACCTTGATTACAATGTGTGGACATCAACTCTCAGAATTCACCTGCCAGAAAATGGTGGTGGAATTCTGGAACTGAACTCCACATATCTTAAAGTTGTCAAGTTTGAGAAACACTGGTATGGCTGTCTTTTTAGTTGCTTCATTTCACTAAGCATTTTGGGAGACCAAGAAACTGGTTAGAATCTTTCATTGGACAGAGACCTCATAAAAGCATTCTCATCCACTTACCATCTTCACATTCCAGTGATTAAACAGTGTAAGATGAAACTGCCAGCACATTGTACAATGGAAGCTGTTATATTTTCTG